TAGAAAGCCGGCAACAAATAAAGCGAAAGTCCAAAACTTGAACGGCAGGGGCAACACAAAAAGTGGCAACAAATTTGAGGGGGAGTGGCAGACAACATGAAGCAGCAGTGGCCAACAACATGAAGCAGCAGTGGCATACAACATGAAGCAGCAGTGGCAGACAACAGGGAAGCACAGTGCAGACAACATGAAGCAGCAGTGGCAGACAACATAAGCAGCAGTGGCAAAAAACATAAAGCACAGTGGAGACACCATGAGCAGCAGTGGCAACAACATGAAGCAGCAGGGGAACAACATGAAGAAAGCAGTGGCAGACAACATGAAGCAGCAGTGCAGACAACATGAAGCAGCGTGGCAGACAACATGAAGCGGAGTGGCAGACAACATGAAGCAGCAGTGGCAACAACATGAAGCAGCAGTGGCATACAACATGAAGCAGCAGGGCAGACCGACCTCTGAAAACAAACCGTGGTAAACTGGAACAACAAAAATGGCGCGTCACACACTAACCCACATCTAAACTTGAACACAGTGATAACATGTTTCAGAAAATTGTTATTAAAATGTTTACTGTAAAAAAAGGGCCGTGAATATTGGGAAATTTACGAAGATTGGTGTTTAAATTCCCACTAGGGGATTAATTCAGTTTCAATTAATTTTTAAATTGAGGAAAAAATCTGAAACGAAAATAATGCCGAAAAATTTATAAGGGTTTAAAACTGAAGTAGAGGTTTCCACTGTAACGGGAAATTTTTTCATTTAAATTTAAATGGAAAATTGCTGAAACGGAACCTCCCGGAAATCATCAACCCAGAAAAACCCTTATAATAACGGAAGAAAAAAACTTTTGATAGGAAAACCTTAACTATTGTAAATCCTCCTGTGTAACTTTAAACCAACCAGAGAAAACCCCTTGAAAATGGAAAAAAAACACATTTTTATTAAAAAATTCATTTTCCCTAATTGTGGTAAAATTACCCGAACAAAAAACTTGGGAACATTTTCTATTTCCCCCAAAAATGTATTTGCTGTAATTATGTTGTACAATTGTTGGAGATTAAAACATTCACATTTTACAATTTAAATATGTAGAACCTCCCTTTTGGGAAAACGGGAAACAAAAAGGAGGGAACAGGAAAATTAAACAATGGACGGGATGGTGGGAAGCCCCCAAAGATAAGGGAAAACAGAAAACAAAAGGAAGTGGACCAAAAAATTGAAGGCAGGGGTAAGTTCCCAAGATGAAGGAGTGCTTAGTTCACCAAACAAAGGCAGTGTTTAGTTCACCAGATGAAGGCAGTGTTTAGTTCACCAGATGAAGGCAGTGTTTAGTTCACCAGATGAAGGCAGTGTTTAGTTCACCAGATGAAGGCAGTGTTTAGTTCACCAGATGAAGGCAGTGTTTAGTTCACCAGATGAAGGCAGTGTTTAGTTCACCAACAATGAGAACAAGCTTCTCCTGATACCAGTCTTTGCCACATGAAGACCCATTCAAGTTTTTTTGTACAAACTGTTTAGAAAATCTTCAATGCTATGGAGTCTGGAAACAAGACATATTGACTGAAAAATAAACCCCATGTTTAGCTAGCAGTGCTTATTAAATAAGAACCTGGGTGTTAGAACTAGACTGTAGTAAGTCACCCATTTCCCCCAGAGAGAACTTAAGTTCCACAATGGATATAAGTCACAATGCTTGACTTTCTTGGGTTGCCTTGGCTTATTAACACTCTTGAGATAATAACACAAAAATCATCAATATACTTGGAGTATACCTGGAGAAGGTTTTGGGGGTCAACGCCCTCATGGCTTGGTCCGAGACCAGGACTTGTGGTGGATCTGGGTCTTATCAACCAGGCTTTACTGCTGGCTGCATACAAACTGATGTACAAACCACAGCCCAGCTGGTCAGGTACTGCCTTTAGGTACCTGTTCATTGCCTTCTTGAAGACAACCAGGGGTTTACTGGTAATTCCCATTATGTATGCTGGGAGGCAGTTGAACAGTCTTGGGCCCCTGACACTTACTGTGCTGTCTCTCAGTGTACTCATGGCACCCCTGCTTTTCACTGGGGGAATGTTGCATATCATGCCGAGTCTTTTGCTTTCATAGGGAGTGATTTTCGAGTGCAAGTTTGATACTAATTCCTCTAGGATTTTCCAAGTGTATATTATATGTATCTCTCTCGCCTGCATTCCAGGGAATACAAATCAAGGGCCTTTAACCATTCCCCAGTAATTTGGGTTTGCCTTATCATTTTAAAACTTGAATTGTGTGCCTTAAAAGGGGGTTATCTTTGTAGACTTCCACGGTCAAAACTTTCCCTCTGAAAAGAGGCAAGTTTTACACAATATTCCGTGAGGAAAACGTTTTAAAGGGCACCTGTGTGCAAAATTTCCTTAATTTTAAAATTTTTCCAAAGGGAAATTTGTTAAATTTATTCCGCAATTGTTCCAGCTAAGCAAACCAAACTATTTGAAATTTTCTTGGTTTTTCAAAAGACAATTAAAACCCCGCCAAAAGTTTTAATTATTATATTTTTATTTTCCTATAAGGAAATTCTTAACATAAACAATGTATATGAGATCAAGACAGACATAAACTGCAAGTTACAATATGTAAGATATCAAGAGAGACAAACTGTAGTCAAGAGAAACATAAACAGTAAGTTACAATATACAGTGGAACCCATCATACGATGGCATCGTGTTACATTAAATCCGCTATACGATACATTTTAAACCAAAAATTTTGCTACGCCTCACAATAAAAAACTCGCTAAACGTGATTCCAACCAAACCTGTCCGTCCAGCCTGAGCGCCTCAGCTTTCCTGCTGTCATTGTTTACAAGCCAGAATGGCCAGTTGCATGCATACATTCGATACATTTTGTATTATTCCATTGTTTATAGCACTTGTAACTCCTAAGAAAGCCACCATGGGCCCAAAGAAAGCTTCTTGTGCCAACCCTGTGGTAAAAAGGGTGAGAAATACTATCGTACCACAGTCAGGTGTTGCTGCACCACGGTCAGCTGTTGCTGCACCACCATCAGCTGTTGCTGCACCATGGTCAGCTGTTGCCACACCAGTCACCTGCTGCTGCACCACCATCAGCTGTTGCTGCACCATGGTCAGCTGTTGCCGCACCAGTCACCTGCTGCTGCACCACCATCAGCTGTTGCTCACCAGGTCAGCTGTTGCTGCCCCCATCAGCTGTTTGCTGACACATGGTTCAGCTGTTGCTGCACCAGGTCAGCTGTTGCTGCACCAAGTCAGCGTTGCGCACCACGGTCAGCTGTTGCTGCCCAGGTCAGCTGTTTCTGCACCCCGGTCACCTGTTTCTGCACCACGGTCAGCTGTTGCTGCACCACAGTCAGCTGTTGCTGCACCACGGGCAGCTGTTGCTGCCCAGGTCAGGTGTGCTGCACCCCGTCAGCTGTGCTGCACCAGGTCAGCTGTGCTGCACCACGTCAGCTGTTGCTGCACCACAGTCAGCTGTTGCTGCACCAGGTCAGTGTTGCTGCACCACGGTCAGCTGTTGGCTGCACCAGTCAGCTGTTGCTGCACCAGGTCAGCTGTTGCTGCACCAGGGCAGTGTTGCTGCACCACCCTCAGCTGTTGCTGCACCCCGGTCAGTGTTGCTTGCGTGCACCACCGTCAACTGTTGCGCACCCCGGGCAGGTGTTGCTGCCCCAAGTCACTGTTGCTGCACCACCGGGCAGCTGTTGCTGCACCACCGGTCAGTGTTTGCTGCACCAAGGTCAGCTTTTGCTGCACCACGGTCACTGTTTTGCTGCACCACGTCAGCTGTTGCTGCACCACGGTCAGCTGTTTCTGCACCACGGGGGTGCCCCCGGTCAGCTGCTGCGCACCACGTCAGCTGTTGCTGCACCACGTCAGCTGTTTTGCACCCACAGTGTTGGCACCAGTCAGGTGTTGCTGCACTAGTCACCTGCTGCTGCACCCCGTCAGCTGTTGCTGGGACCACGGTCAGCTGTTGCTGCGCCACAGTCAGCTGCTGCTGCACCACAGTCAGCTGTTGCTCCACCACAGTCAGCTGTTGCTGCACCACAGTCAGCTGTTGCTGTTGATGCACCACCATCAGCTGTACTACTGGAAGATGTGGAGAGTGTGTTGTTGGTGTGGCTTAACGGGAAACAATTACCGAGAAACGATTAACCCCAGAGGGTTAGCCACCCAGGATAACCCAAGAAAGCCAGTGCATCATCAAGGACTGTCTAACTTATTTCCATTGGGGTCCTTAATCTTGTCCCCCAGGATGCGACCCACAACAGTTGACTAACACCCATGTGAACAGGAAAAAATGCCTGGAACTAGTGCTTATATTGGTGAATTTAAGGCCAGCAAAGGTTGGTTTGAGAGATTTAAGAATTGTAGTGGCATACACAGTGTGATAAGGCAGGGAAGCTGAAAAAATTCCAACCCCAACAGTGTTCAGTTGTGACGAAACAGGCCTGTTCCCGGAAGAAAATGCCAAACAGGACCTACATTATCAGGAGGAAAAAGGCACTCCCAGGACACAAGCCTGTGAAAGACAGGATAACTCTCATGTTTTGTTGTAATGCTAGTGGGGAATGCAAAGTGAAGCTTTTACTCATGTATCATGCTGAATATCCCAGAGTGTTCAAGAAAAGCAGTGTCTCATCACTCATCAATACTCTTTAATAAAGGTAAGTGTCATTTTAACATTTATTTATGTAGTTATTGTGCATGTCTTATTGTTTTCTTTGTAGGGAAATGTATATTTCATGAATTTTTTTTTTTTTTTAAATACTCTTGGCTGTCTGGAACGGATTAATTGGATTTCCATTATTTCTTATGGGGAAAATTAACTCAGCTAACGATAATTTTGGCTAACGATGAGCTCTCAGGAACGGATTAATATGTTAGGCGAGGGTCCACTGTATAAGAGATCAAGAGAGACAAACTGTGAGGTCAAGAGAGACATAATTTGTGAACTATGTAGAAACATTTAAAACTTACTGACAAAGGCTCCATCTTTCACCAAAGAAAGACGTACATTGGGAGATCTCTGCATGGCAGTGATGAGAATGGAATATGCTTCACGAGCACATGATTGATCGTCTATCTTCTTCAGATTTACTCTTAGTAGGTAATCTGGTGGGAAAAAATGGTTATATATCAATATTTTCACTGTATTCATGGGGAAGCACTAAACCAGAATGGGTCATACAGCACTTGGGGAATGGAAGATCAATATTATTTTATATTTATGGGGAATTGCTAAAGCTGTATGGGTTATTCAGCACCCGAGAATGAGAGGTAAGTAGCTGAGTGCCTAAACAACCAGTAAAACTGTTTACTTATTAGCAAGTAAACAACCAAACTTATGAGTGTTACTGACATAACTGACAAATAACTCCTCTAGAACCAGGCTTGTCACTGACAATATAATAACTCCTCTAGAACCAGGCTTGTCACTGACAATATAATAACTCCTCTAGAACCAGGCTTGTCACTGACAACATAATAACTCCTCTAGAACCAGGCTTTCATGACTTTTTAAATTTTTTAATTTTTTAAGACCCCTTTAAACCAGGGTTTTGTCAATGACAACAAAAACTCTTAGCCAGGCTTGCAAATGAAAAAACTAAAACTACTTAAACCAGGTGTATGGAAAAACACATTACATTAACTTTAAAAGGTTGCACTTTCAAAATTTCCTTTAAAAAGGCTTTTAAATGGACAAACATATATTCCAAAAACTTGCATACACCCTAATTTCCTCTAAAAACAGTTGTCAATGGACAATAAATATTTAAAAGTTGTCCCTGAATATTAATTAATTTAACCAAAAATTGCATTAAAATATAAAATTTATTGAAACAGGCTTTTGGAAAAAATATTAATTATATCCTCCTGTAAAACCAGTTGTTCACTGAAATATAATAATTCTGACCGGGCATTTACTTGGGTATTAATCCTTGAAAGCTTGAAATGACAACTTTAACTTTAACCCTTTCACGGGCCCCCCTAATGACTCGCTTTAGCAGGGTCACCTGACTATAAAATTCTAGCCGGTGTCATTGACAAAATAACCTCTCTAGAAAGGGCTTGTCATTTACACCCTAAAAAATCCCCAGCCCCCGGCTTGTTGGGGCCAAATAACTTTGTAACCGCAAAGGGCTTTCACTCGGCAATTTAATCTCTTAAACCAGAGCTTGTACTGACAATATTTTAACCATTGAACCAGGGCCTTTGGGCAATGACCCTTTAATAATTTCCCTAGAACCCAAGGCTTTTCATACAATATAATTCAGTAGACAGGCTTTTCAATGACCAAATAATATTTGAACCATTGGGCATGACCATATTAAACCCTTAGAAAGCTTTTCTGACTTTTTTAATCCCTAGAAACCAGGCTTGTATGAAACATTTAATTTTTTTAGAACCAGCTTGTCACTGCAAAATAATTATCATTAAGAACCAGCTTGTTTTTAACTGACAAAAATAAAAATCCTAGAAACCCAGTCATGACATTCATATACTTTCTTGAAACCAGGCTTGTCATGACTTTTAATAACCCTTCCTAGGAACCGGCCTTGGTCCCTGACCCAAGACATAATAACCCTTTCCTATGGAAACCCGGCCTTGGTCCCTGACAAAATTAACCTCCTCATAGAAACCCGGCTTTCCCCTTGACAATAATAACCCTCTAGAACCAGGTTCCTTGGCAAACATAAACCCCAGAAAAGGTTGTCACACAACTAATAACTCCCCTTTGAACCAGGCTTTTTTCCACCTGAAACAAATTAATTCCTCTTGAACCAAATTATTAATAAAAAACTAAAATAACTTTTCATATTTTGAACCCCTTTTTCACAACAATAAAATATATTATAGAACCAGCTTGGGCAATGACAAAATGTAACATTCTTAGCAAACCCTGGCCTTATCAATGACAATATTATTAAAATTTAAATTTACCTTTTTTAATTTTTATGGACTTGTCCCAAACAGTACCCTTGAAATTGTATAATACCCTTATGTGGCCTTGCCAATGGCCCAAAAAGCCCTATTACCTTGGACATTATGGCAACTTTAAAATATATTGCTTTTTTCAATAAATTTAAACATAAGGAATTGAAAACAAATTAGTGCAGTTATTGTGTTGAATACAATGAGTGTACACTTATACAATATACATTATATTGGTCTCACAGACCACAAATGTTATTAGAAAAAGAAAAAAAATAGAAAAGAAAAGAAAGAAGTATAAAAAACGTAAAATAAAAAAATGGGATTTTGCGGAAGTCACTTATGTTGCCGCCACCTGGTCATTTTGGTCAACTTCCCGCCGCTGTATCTCGGTAAGTACTGATCAGAAAAAAAAAATTGTCTTATTACCTTCACAAAAATATACTCTTTAATTCTGTAAGAAAATTTTTTTTTTTTTTTTTTTTTTAAATTTCTTAGACACTGGAGCACCACTTCAGATTTTGGCCTTGGACCCTGAAGGGTTAATATCTTCTGGTAATAAATTCCATATTTTGGGGCCCTTATGTGCATCGAGTTTTTACACAGTGTGATGCATACACGAGGTATATCAAAAAGAGATCTGTGTCTTGTGTTGTGGTCATGTGTCCTATTTAGGTTGGTGAGGAGAAGTTTGAGGGGGTTTATATTTGCATATATTGTTCTGTGTATGTAGTAGGCACGTGAATAAGTATGGATGTTCTTAATGGTGAGCAGATTCAGACTTTTGAAAATTGGTGGAGTATGCTGGCAGAAGTGGGAATTTGTTATCATTCTTACTGCTGCCTTTTGCTGGGTTATTAGGGGTTTTAGGTGATTGGATGTTGTTGATTCCCATGCACAAATTCCATATGTAAGATAAGGGTATATGAGTGAATGGCACAGTGCCAGGAGAGCTGATTGTGGAACGTAGTACCTTATCTTTGATAGTATGCCTACAGTCTTGGAGATTTTCTTGGTTATTTATTGTATGTGTGTCTGGAACTTAGGGCTACTGTCAAGGTGGATACCTAGGAATTTTCCCTCTGTGAGTCTTGTGACTGATGATCCATTTAGCGTTATGTTAATTGGATCATTTGCAGATTTGTTTCCAAACTGAATGAAATGGGTTTTATCAGTGTTCAGGGTAAGTTTGTTAGTCATCATCCAGGCAGATATTTTCTGTAAATCAGCACTGACTGTGTTAACATGACTCACGAAATTGTAATGACATGATTGCAAACAAACCATACCACGGGCGGGATTTGAAACCCGTGGTCAGAGAGTCTCAAAACTCCAGACTGCCACGTTAGCCACTGGGCTAGCAAGCCCAGTGGCTAACGCAACGGTCTGGAGTTTTAGAGACACTCTGACCACAGGTTTAAATCCCGCCCGTGGTATGGTTCGACTGTGTTAGCTAGTATGACTGTGTTTGGGTGGGAAAATACATATGTAGTGTCATCTGCAAATAATATGGGTTTGAGTAGCTGTGATGCATTCGGTATATCATTGATGTAGATGAGAAAGAGGAGTGGTCCAAGGACGCTTCCTTATGGGACTCCTACTGTGATTGGTTGGGTGGAAGAGTTTGCATCATTTGCATACACATATTGAGTTCTGTTACTAAGGTATGACATTAGGTAGTTGAGGGAGTGGCCTCTTATACCATAGTGCATTAATTTGGAGTACAGCAGTTCATGGTCGACTGTATCGAAAGCTTTTTTTAAATCAATGAAAATGCCCAGCGGGACTTCTTTCTTTTCAAGTGCGGTATATATTAGATCTAGCATGTGTATGATAGCATCATTTGTGCTTTTATTATTCTTGAATCCAAACTGACAAGGGTTTAATATGTTGTGTGAAACGAGGTAGGAATAAATCCGTCAATGAATTAATATTTCAAAGATTTTAGAGAGCAGTGGTAAGTTAGATAATGGTCAATAGTTATTCAAGTCAGCTTGGTCACCTCCTTTATGGATCGGAGTGACCCTCGCTATTTTAAGGATTGTTCGGAAGGTAGATGATTCAATGGATTTGTTAAAGAGCGTTGCAATAATTGGTGACAATACTTGAGAAGCTTTTTTGTACATAAAAGCAGGCAAGTTGTTTATGTCTCCTGTCTTGTTTTTAAGGGTGTTTATGATGAGCATAACTTCAGTGGGGTTGGGTGGAGCAAGGAATAGTGTATTTGGGTAGGTACCTATGAGGTAGTCTGATGGACGGGTGTTTGTGCTTGGTATTTTGTGTGCTAGATTTTTTCCTATGGTGGAGAAGAAAACATTAAGTCTGTTTGCTGTTTCGGTTGGAGTGGCTAGGGGTTCATCTGATTTTGTTTGTTTTGTTTTGTTTTTGGGTAACTTTTTAGTTCCAAGAATTTCAGATTGAGTTTTCCAGGTTTTTTTCATATCACCTTTGATGTTATGTAATCTATTTTCATAATACAATTTTTTTGGCCTTTTTATCAGGCTGGTAAGTGCTGACGAGTATCTTTTCAACTGTTCTCTAGTTATTTGACCCATTCTATACTGTTTTTCATATTTGTGCTTTGTGTTAACGGATTTGAGGATGCTTGGTGTTAGCCAGAGATTATTCAGTCTCTTTGCTGTGATCTGTTTTGTTTTTCTGGGGCAATGTCTGTTATAGAGGCATTGGGCTTTTTTTTAGAAAATTATTTATACATTCATTCATATCTGTATATGTTTCGAGCTCATTTTGCCAATCAATGTTATTCATAGCTGCTATATAGTTGTTAACTACTGTCTCGTTATGTAGTCTGAAGGTTACTTTAGTAATGTATTGTGACAGTTGGCCCAGATTAGTTATGAGAAAGGTTGGGTAGTGGCCTGTAGTGTTGTCTGTGATTATGCCTGAATTTAAAGGGGATATGGTGTTTGTCCAGATTTGGTCTATTAAGGAGATGCTTGTCTCAGAGATTCTTGTAGGTTTAGATATTGCTGGTAGCAACAGGCAGTTACTCATTGTGTTTGTGAATTCGGTTACTTGTGGGTCCTGGTCGTGTAGTATGTTTATGTTGAAATCTCCTGTTAGTAGTAGGTGGTCTTTATTCATGTGTGCATCAGTAATCATGTTTCCTAGTTTTTCACTAAAGTGGTAAATGTTTGACTGTGGTACTCTGTAGATGT